GATAAACTATCCCAAAAATTTTCAAAAATTTTTTCAAGAGAGAAACTATCACATATTTTAAGTTTTAGATAGAGAAACTATCTTGAAATTTTTAAAGAGATAAACTATCTCAAATTTTAAATTTAAGAAAAAAAAAGTACTTGAAAATATTTACAGAAAAACTATCATAAAATTTTTAAATAGTGAAACTATCTCAATTTTTTTTAAAAGTGAACCTATCTAAAATTTTAAGCCTTGGAGAGAGAAACTACCTCTAAATTTTTAAAGAGAAACTATCTCAAAATATTTAGAGAGTAAATTTTATCAAATTTAAGTTTTAGAGAGAAATTACCAAAAACTTTTAGAGAGAGAAACTATCTCAAACTTTAAATTTTAGAGTGAGTATTTGACATTTTTATGGAGAAAAATTATCTCCAAATTTTATAGAGAAACTACATTGAATTCTAAATTTTATAGAGAGATAGTATCTTAAAATTTTAAAGAAAGAGAAAAACTACATTAAATTTTAGAAAGAGAAACTACCTAAATTTTTTTAAAGAGAAACTAAAATTTTAAGTTTTAGAGCAAGAAAATACCTTAAAATTTTAAAGAGAGAAACTATATCAAAATTTTGAGAGATAACTATCTCAATTTTAGATAGAGCAAGCACCTAAAAATTTTTACAGATAAAATATCTCAAAAATTTTAGAGAGAGAATCTGTCGCAAGAATTTTAGAGAGAGAAACTATCACAAAATTTATAAAGAGAGAAACTATCTTAAATTTTAGAAAGAGAGAGAGTATTTGAACATTTTTAGAGAGAGAAACTATATCAAATTTTAAATTTTATAAAGAAAAAGTATCTTAGAATTTTAAAGCGATATAGAAGGGAAAACTATATCAAATTTTAGAGATAGAAGCTACTTCAAATTTTTTTTAGAGAGAGAAACTACCTCAAATTTTTTAAAGAGTGAAACTATTTCAAAATTTTTAGAGAGAGATGTTATCTCATATTGTAAGTTTTAGAAAAAAGTATCTTAAAATGTTTAAGAGGCAATATATAGCAAATTTTAGAGAGAGAAAGTACTTAAAATTTTTAGAGAGAGAAACTATCTCAAAAATTTTAGAGAGAGAAACTATCTCAAATTTTAAGTTTTAGGGATAAAAAATATTAAAATTTCAGAAAGATAACCTATATCAAATTTTAGAGAGAGAAACTACTTGAACTTTTTTAGAGAGAAATTATCTCAAAATTTATAGAGAGAAAACTATCTTAAATTTAATAAAAAATGACATTATAATGAGTAATACAATAAAAAATATTTAAGAAAAAAGTAAAAAAAACAAAAAATCCATAAAAATATCATCCGAACAACCAAAATCTATTGGAAAAAGTTTATATAAGGATGCTACCTTATAATGTAGAACTATGGATGCCCCTAAAAAAACTATCGAAAAAGGTAGTTTTTGATCATCTCGACATCGAGATGTATGACCATGAAAAATAAAAAGATTTAAGTCTCAGAAATAGTGCATTTTACAACATATTATCTATACCGTTCATTTTCAAGATTTTCATATGTTTATAGATCTACTTGATTTTAACCATTTTTGAAATTTAAAATTTTATAATTAGATATAAAAATAGATTTTGAGATAAACCTAAAAAACATTTTACATCAAAATCATATACCATGATAAAATTTGAAGGTGCACCTTACCTCTACACCTACGGATCCATCCGTATGCCAACTGCACCCAAGTCTATTTTATAGAAAATACTTTTCTTAAAATATATTTCAAAATAAATAGATTTTTGCATGTAAGCTTGTTCTATGGATCCAAACGGTTTTGTAATGGAGAGATAATTCTAATAGCTATACACAGTTCAACGGTTATAGAGAGAGTTTTGGTGGGGGCATTTTTTGTTTTTTGGGCAATTATGGAGGCGTTCTCCATTTGATAAAATCGCGAGAGAGACGATGAAGACATGCAAGAGTTTGGTGCAGAGAGAGAGTGAGAGTTGGGGAGGCGAGAAGAGGTTGTTTGATACCCAAATATCCCTCAAATTGATCATCTCATCTTGATTTCAAAAATTTCACACAAGAGGCTATTTGATACCCAAATATCCCTCAAATTGATCATCTCATCTCAATTTCAAAAATTTCACATGAGGAAAGGTTGTTTGATACCCTAATATCCCTCGAATTGATCATCTCATCTCGATTTCACACGCAAAGAGGTTGTTTGATACCCAAATATCTCTCAAATTGATCATCTCATCTCGATTTCACACGTGAAGAGGTTGTTTGATACCACACGAAGAGGTTGTTTGATACCCAAATATCCTCAAAGTGATCATCGAAGAGGTTGTTTGATACCCAAATATCCTCAAATTGATCATCTCAATTTCACACACGAAGAGGTTGTTTGATACCCAAATATCCTCATGTTTGATACCCAAATATCCTCAAATTGATCATCTCGATTTCACACGCGAAGAGGTTTGTTTGATACCCAAATATCCTCAAAGTGATCATCAAGAGGTATGGACAAGAGAAAAACATGGATTTCAAGTTTTTTGGAAATAGTACATTTTGCAACACATTTTAGACCGATAGTTTTCAATATTTTCAAGTTTTCATAGATATGCTCGATCTACACTATTTTGATGCTTTAAATTTTATAATTAAAGATGAAAATATATTTTAAGGCTAACAAAAAGATTTCTAGCATTGAAACCACATTTCTCGACACTATTTGAAGGTGGGCTCTACTTTGATTGTTTAGAACCTCGGTCTTATACAAACTGCACCCTTTTATTTATGGTCATATATTGTGCACTCTATTCATCTTTTTTTATTAGCTAAAGTGGAATTTTTGTTCATATTGTGTACTTTATTTTTTTTATTAGCTGGCTTTGAAGTCTCAACTCTTTTTCAAAGCTTCCAGACATAATTCCAATCGAAACCCTCAGACTAGAACTCGATTTAGGTTAAGAGTTCCTAATGTATTATTGAAGATCTAATATTCCTTAGAAACTCCATTTAGCTTTCAAGGTCCTCATGAATAAAGATTGACAATCCATTGCAAAGAAATCACAAACTTTCAAAATGGAGCAAAATAATAACTAGGCTAAGAATTTCAGGATGGGGTACAAAAACTTGGCCGAAATTTATTGATATCTCAAATCCATTGAATGTAATTGTTTTTCCTCAAAAGTAATGTTTCTAACAAGACAGATCGGTCAAAATTTTGTTTAGTTTTTTAAAACCTGGCAATGTCAATGGGAAATCGTCAATCCGGGCTGGAATTGGCTAGGGCTTGACTGGTTATCGACAACTATCGGTTTTGGCCCGTTTCCCCTTAAACCCTCCCAAAAAATTTTGTTCTTTACTTTTTTTTCTAGGCTTAGAGGACAAAATTTGTGTAGAATTCTCTGCGCCCCATAAAGATGTAGGTTCTATATATAATAGTTACGTACTCATCCTTGATTGACTCAAGCCAATATATGATTACAACAAATCTGTACATATATGAAAATGATTACCATATGAAGAGATTACAACATATCATGTTAATCCTTATCATGATCGTATCTTTCTAGATCATCATCATCATTCTTATTACTTCCCCTCAAACTATTGTCAATATGAAACATGAACAACTTGGTTGCTATCGAACGATGTTGTGAAGTAGGAAAACATTTTGTAAAAATATTAGCAAGGTGTTATGTAGTTGAAACATAATCAAGTATCTCTCCACTTTCAACTTTTTCTCGAATAAAATGATAATCCAATTCAATGTGCTTGATTCGTGCATGGAGAATTGGATTAAAGGCAAGCCTTATTCCACTCTGGTTATCCCAACGTAGAATTGTATGTTGAATTCTTATACCCAATTGTGATAGAATGTGGTAGTACCAAGTTATTTCAGCAGCTATAGAAGACATTGCTCAATATTCTGCTTGAACTTGAGCATGAAATAGTTCTTTGCTTTTTACTCTTCCAAGACACTAGAGATCCTGCCAAAAAAAATACAAAATACAGATATCGACCTTCTTGTATCGGGATCTCCAACTCAGTCTACATCATAATATGCGATAAGGTTAACTTGTCTTCCACCAATGGGAAAGAGAAGACCATCACAAAGGGTACCCTTCACATATCTGAGAATCCTTTTAGCTGCTATGAGGTGCACCTTATGAGGATCATGTATAAATTGACATACTTGATTGACTGCATAGGTGATATGTGTTAGATTTAGAGAAGATGCAGAGCTCAAGAACAGTCTAGAGGGAGAAACTATCTTGATCAATTCTCATTGACAAAGAATGAAACCATAAAAGATTTATATACAAATACATATTTACTACATTAACCACATTATTCCTACACAAGTATACAATGACAATAAAAGACAACTGAAAATTATACATTTTATTATTCCCCCCTTAAAGCTGATGCGGACACGAGGAAAGCATTAGCTTATCCACTAGAAAATCATGGTGGCTTCGAGGAATATATTTGGTAAAAATATCAGGCGTTTGTGTAGTAGAATCAACATAAGGGAGAGATAATGTATCATCAAGATAACGATCACAAACATAATAGCAATCTACGTTAATATGCTTTGTTCGCTCATGAAAAATTTGATTAGATGCAATCTTAATTGCACTTTGGTTATCTACATATAAAGGTGTGGGATTTGAAATAGAGATACCAAAGTCATTGAGAGGAGCACAAACCTAAACAATCTCATTAGCAACAGAGGACATAACACGATACTCTGCTTCAATGCTTGACTTGGAAACAATGTCCTATTTCTTGCTCTTCCATGAAATTAATGATGGCCCAAAAACACATAATATCTTGTAGTAGAATGGCAAGTGTCTAGATCACCTGCCCAATATGCATCTGCATATGCACGAAGATCGAAAGAGGATGTGGAATCAAAGAATAATCCACGAATGGAAGTACCTCTAACATAGCATAAAATTCGATGAACTGTTGATATATGTGGTCATCGAGGATCTGAAACAAATTGGCTCACAACATGGACAACATATGCAATATTTAGGCGAGTCATAATAAGATAGATGAGGGAGCCAACTAGTTTGCGATACATCGTAGGCTGAAGAAGAGGATCTCCAACATGTGTAGAAAGTTTAACATTGAGTTCCATGGGCGTACCAACAACCTTCACATCATTCAAGCGGGCACTGGAAACAAGATCAAGTGCATACTTCTGTTGATGAATGTAAATGCCACGTTTAGAGAGAGAGATCTTAAGGCCAAGAAAATAAGATACTTCCCTAAGATCCTTCATTTGAAATTCTTCTTGCAATCGTAGCTTCACATCCTTGATGGAAGTTAAATCATTGCCAGATATAAGAATATCATCAACATATAATAAAATAATGCAAATTCCATGTTTTATGGTACGAATAAACATAGAGTGATTATGATTACTTCGAGTGAAGCCAGTTGCAAGAATGATAGCCTAAAAACACTCAAACCACGCACGTGGAGCTTGTTTGAGACCATAAATTGTTTTACGAAGTCAACAAACCAAATGACTTATCTTGAGAGACAAACCCAGGTAGTTGACGCATGTAAGCTTCCTCTTGAAGTTTGCCATTAAGGAATGCATTTTTGACATCCATATGCCATATGGGCCACTCACAAATAGATGTTAGTGCAATAAAAGTGCGAATAGTTATTATCATAGTAAATGGAGCAAAAGTTTCTTCATAATTGATGCCATGCTCTTGGGCATAACCCTAAGCAACTAATCGGGCCTTGTGCTGATCAAGAGTGTCATCAGCTCGTAACTTGACTTTATAAACCCATTTACTACTAATGGCATGCTTTTCTGAGGGCAATGGGACCACATTCTAAGTGTGATTTGCCTATAAAGCTGCAAATTCCTCATTCATAGCTATTGTTTATGATGAAAATCTGACAGATCTTTCGATGAAGATCTCTCGAATTTTAACACCTTAAACTAATAAAATAGATGTAAATAAAGTGGTAGAGAAAGTGGGACTGAGCGAATTCAGATCTGAGGCCAAATCTTCCCGAAGACGAGCAAATCTACTCTTAGATCTGTGGCAGAGCCAGCATGATCTGAAGCATTAAAATACGATTTTAAGATAAAGTTAACAGATCAAAATAAATAAACACATAAATAAAACAATAAAAGAATAAAAAAGAGAGAGGAAGAAATAATACCAAACCGGGCTGGATGGCCCGGGGTTCGAGGGTTCGTCCATATCAAAATCGGTCCTTTTTGAAACTATGATTCGGATATTGACCAGTGGATCTCTACTATAAAAGGGTTAGATCTAGGGTTGTTGTGCCCTAAGTCTAGTTTTGATTTAGGGTTGTTGTGTTATAGGTATAAGTTTTCTCAAGCTTGGGGGTTAGAGTCTCAGAAGGTTAAGGTTTCTGTCTTTCTGAAGCTCTAAGGTTTCAATCTCTATCTGTTTCTCTCAGGTCTAAAGGAGAATTTCCTTAATTTTCTAAGGGTTTTGTGATCTTTAGAGGTTGAATATGAATTATTAAATTTTCTCTAATTTTTTGGGATTTATCCTAAATTTTTAGGAAATTTTTAACGATTTTGTTTCTATTTTTGGTATTTTTGGGTAATTTCCTAATTTCGAGAATTTCTGAGGTGTTTTTTTTTGTCTCTTTTTCTCTCTCCTTTTGAGTTAGGGAGAGGGGGTATTTATAAGATTTAATTGGTGATTTTTCCTAAATGTTTTGGAGTTTTTTTCAAATTTTTTTGAATTTATCTTGAAGTTTCAACCTTATCTAATTAAAGAAAACGCATTTACTACATCATCATATGCGTTGACTGCGTCCTCAGCTCGCATCTAAGCCTGTCGAGCCCATTACAGCTGGGCCTGGGGCCCCGAAAGTTGGGTCTCACAGGGACTAAATTGTTATTTACTATATCGTTTTATCCGTATGTCCGATTCACGCGATTCGTAGATCGTTGGAAAACTCTTGGGCTCTACTTCAAATTGGGATAGGATTTAGGTAATTTTGGGGTAATTAAAATGGGTATACTAGGATAATGTGGTCCTAAAGGTTTAAAAAACCATAGAATTTGCCAGATTTAAAATAAGCTGTCTATAGTTACCCCTCTTTGGCACTCCTTGTCCTTCGAGGGACAGGCGAGTGACAAGGAAATAGACACTTTGGCGTTCACTGTCCTTCGACGGGCAGGTGAATGTCAAAGATAAAGTAGACATTTTAAATTTATTCTTGAGGTCACGTGGTCAGGGGGCACACCAACTATCCCTCCAAGTCACCGAGCTCACCTACTTAGGGCATTTTTCCTCATAGGGTTTTCGGCGTGATATGTTGGTGAGTTACACAAGCTTGAAACTAGAGTTGGATTTTCTAGTCATGCCACTTAACTTTAAGGGTTTTGTAGTTTGAATTTTTAATTTTGGCATTTTCATTGATCTCTTTAGAGTTTTCTAAGGATGTCTATAAGAAAGGCTTTCTATAGGAAGAGACTTATCTGACCGAATCCGAAGTGAGAGACGAGGCAGCAATGTGGCAATCGCGGCAACGCAGTAATCATCATATACAGGTGCCCAAGCCCCTTCATTTTTTTAAGACTTTTTTAGAATTTTTTTGAAAGTAGGAGGAGATTTGAAATAGAACCCGAAGCAAGGACATGTTACGATTTTAAAAAAGAAATTAAAGTTTTTAGAAAACACAAGACATATAGTGAAAATTTTGAAAAGAGAAAGATATTTTGGAAAACAAGGTTGGTTAGTAGCTTTAATTCCTGTAACCATAGAGCCCTATAAGCAGTTTAGCATCATGCAGTGATGGACCATACACCCGACCCTTTACGTTAATACAGAGATAGACAGAATTCATCAAACATAGTGGTTGTGCCCTGGATACACTCGACTTGTTTGCGTCATACAGGGCTAAACGGTACCTGCCTCAACTCTTTTACGTGGCACGAGTTTGACGTTTTTCCATTGAACAAGGTGGTTGTGCCATGGATACACTCGACCTTTCATGTCAGGGATAGACGGTACCTGCCTCGACTCTTTTATATCGCACGATTTTGCCGTTTTTCTATTGAAACAAGGTGGTTGTGCCCTGGATACACCCGACCTTTCACGTCATACGGGAATAGATGGTATCTGTCTCGGCTCTTTTACGTCGCACGAGTTTGAGGTCTTTCCATTAAACATGATGGTTGTGCCTTAAATGCACTCGAACTTTCACGTCATACGGGGATAGACGGTATCCGCCTCAGCTCTTTTATGTCGCATGAGTTTGACATCTTTCCATTGAAAAAAGATGGTTGTGCCATGAATACACCTGACCTTTCATGTCATACGGGGGTAGATGATATCTGCCTCGGCTCTTTTATGTCACATGAGTTTGACATCTTTCATGTCTCGGCTCTTTAACGTCGCATGAGTTTGATATTTTTCTTGTCTGGGCTCTTTAAAGTCGCACGAGTTTGACGTTTTTCCTATCTCGGCTCTTTAACATTGCATGAGTTTGACGTTTTTTTTCCTGTCTCGGCTTTTTTAACATTGCACAGTTTCACATTTTTTTTCTTGTCTTGGCTCTTTAACGTTGTACGATTTTGACGCTTATCCTGTCTTGGCTCTTTTACGTTGCACGAGTCTGACATTTATCTTGTCTCGGCTCTTTTACGTCGTACGAGTTTAACGTTTTTCTGAATTGGACTTTGGGACATCATACACACATACGGGGATGAGCTTGCCTTATTTCACCTCAGGGGATCCAGTTGAGAGAAAAATGCTCATAGACTAGCCAATATCATCATTGGCGAGGTTCACCCATCTCCGATATGTGGTAGTTTGTAGTTATACTCATACAACCATAGAGTGCCTGGCTAGTTTCAAACCTTCATAACAAGCGTAGGAAGTTGACTTGGAGCATGAGGATAGATCAACTAAGTATTTAACCTCTTGTAGTGATGGAGGAAGTCCGTTCTAAAAGGGTTTTGAAAATGGAGGGTTTTAACAATCAGGTTGAAAAAACGATTTTAAAAGGGACGGACTTTATAGTTTTGCCACTTGTAGCTCCTTTGGTGGTCATTTTATTTATTATATTTTACCCAAAGATGATGAAAAGATTTCCTTATGGGATCGTGACAACTCAAAATTCTCGAAGTTATCTTTTTACCTTTGGAGCTTTCATCCTGTGCTTCGCGGGTCCATGAAGAGTTCTATGGATTCTTGCTGAGCTTCCATCTTGGAGAGGTCCTGATGTTCTTTCAGGAATCGTCGAAGTCACTTCGGTTTTCCATTCATATCACGCTCTCGCATCTTCTGTGTTGGTACTGTTGGGAACCTGCAGGGTTTAAGAAGAGTCTTCATCCTCGGGGTCTGCTTATGCCGTATTGTTGGAACTTGCAAGTACTTGTTTGTACTCGAGTGTTTTTTAATCAGAAGCTCCTTCTTGGAGATTTATTTATTTATTTATTTATTTATTACCCGTGATGCCCTTTCAGGTTTTCACCACATCCTTTTTCATATAATTTTTTTTGTGCCTTTTCAGGTTTTCACCACTCTTTTGAGACCGTTACAGTTAGTATTTTTTGAGATACATCGCATTGATGGGGTCATTGAGCTCACACCCCTCTTGTACGAATTGCTGGCATACACTCAGGTGACTACGAATGGCCCCTCCCAATTAGGTTTGAACTTGCTTAAAGGGTGTGGATTTATAGGAGTGTAGAAGATTTTGTTGAGTACCATATCCCCTTCCCTGAACTATCGAGGAACAACTTTACTTTGGTATACCCTCTCTATTCTACACTGGTAAGCAACAATATTTTGTGTTGCTCGTAGTCGTCTTTCATCCAAATTAATAAGGGCAGCAATTTGTGCTTCGATCTTTTGTTCCTCATTTGAATCTTTATGAATAAGCACTCAGAGAGACGGTATCTCAACTTCAACAGTAACATTGCTTCTATACCATACACCAATGAGTATGGGGTCATGCCAGTATGAGCCTTCTCAGTTGTCCAGTAGACCCATAGCTCGTCATTTAGCTTTTCGTGCCAATCTTTGCCACCTTCTATTATTCATTCCCATGGCGTTCTCGAGCCCGGCTATCAAGGTTTCATATTCAACAACGTTATTGGTACATGAAAAATTCAATGTGATGGTTGTTAGCATTAAAATCTTCTCGAGTGAGCATAATATGACTCCTATACCTGACCCGTATTCATTCCTTGCACCATCAAAGTATAACTCCCAAATAGATTCCTCAATTGTGAAGATATTCTTATTATGGAGATCCGTGTTGATGGGAGTGTTATCTGCTAGTGTGTGTTCAGCTAAGTGATCAGCAATGGCTCGTCCTTTGATCGATTATTGAGTAACATATTCAATCTCGAACTCTCTCAAAAGCATTCTCCACTTCGCCAAACATCCA